TGAATTAACAAATGTAAACTGTAAGCATTAATTTCTCGAACATCTTGTTTATTCCTGCTTTCTGCGTTTTCCTATCAGGATTCCAATTACAACACATATTTTTAATTAACCGTTGAGAAATTTTCATGTATCAATTACTTGATAATTGCCCACTTAAAGTTGTAAACCCAGCAGTGGATATTCTTTATACACTTTTCGTTATGTGTAAATTGATAACACAGAATGTTTAAATTTATTTTTGATAATTTGGCAAAATGAATTGCAGATATAGGTGAAAAAATGTACATAAGAAACACAAACAAATTTATTTATCATTAACAAAGCAAATTAATCGAAATTCTATTACATCTATGGAAAATTCGAATTTCGTATGTTTCAGTAGAGTGATCCTTTTTTTTTTTATTCCATATTCGTCGTTGTTTCATTGTACGCAATCAAAGGTAGTAAAGGAGCATGTAAAATCAATAGCACTCTTATCGAGGATGCCACGCACACATTTGTCCCGTCGTTTTATCAATAGATTCCCGGTAAAAATTCGAAAATTTTCGACAGCGTTCGCGTGATCAGCCGGTGATCAGCAATTTGAACGTTTCCCTCGGATGCTTCGTTCCTGTTGCACGACATCGATTCACCTTTTTTACTATATAACGAAACCAGCACGAGCATGTACATACTCACGTACTCGAACAACTGGCCCCATCAACCGAAACTCACCGACTCCGTTCATATAGCTCGACTCCACGGGATACGCGAATTAGCGTGGCTAGGTCAAGGGTGCAATTTGCCCCAGATTAGTTTTGTTCGATGCCTGCCCACTGTCGTACCTTCTTTTCCTATTTGCTAACTTGGTCCTTGAAAAATTTCGTTTTCCCATGGCCTCAAGTACTATTCGTCCTTTTTCCCGATGTTAGAACATGAAAACATTTGTTTATAGGACGAATTCTGTAGAATAGATTTTTTCGTTTTCAGATGAGCAAAGATACAGGCTCGTTCGACGTTAACTCACTGTCGTACCTTCGTCCTTGAAAAATTTCTTTTTCTCGTTGCTTCAAGTTCTATTCATCTTTTAATATTGAATTACAGCCTTCGATATTAAAAAATGAAAGTGTGTTCATAAGAAAAATTCCGTGGAATACACTTTTTAATTAACAAGAGGAGTCTGGAGAACGAACAGATAGTCTAAATATACAAATACGTTAGTTAATTTGTATAAGTTTTTATGTAATTTGGTAAATTCAGTGTACTCTATAAATTTGTACTCTACCGCAACTCCAAGTTGAATAAATTCGTTAAATGAATTAAAACGTTAATTTGAAATGAAACAGAAGTTGTTTAACCTAATTACATTAATTATACACCCAATAATTTCTGTGTAACTACACCTTAAATAAATAATTATCTGAAGTATAGTAAACAGTGCAGGCAGAGAGTATAACTATGTTGCAAAACGCATCAACTATGGAAAGCACAATAAGTCAAGCAGTGCAATCCATATTTTACAGAAGCTTATAAAAACCGATTTCGTTTATTCATTTGCTTTAATTGAAATACAATCTTCCATTTGAAATAATCGCTCCAGAAATGTTCCAATACATTTAAGCTATCTCGGTCAAGGGAATAAAAGGCTGATTAAAAATAGTATATATTCGGTCCCAACGAAAGAATATATCTATATATCAACAGTGTACATATAATCTACACTGTATATACATAAATTTAGATTTTTTTTTCTCTGGCTATTGTTCTATATTTTATATATAAATATTAACACGAAGCAGAATAGTTATAAAAGTAACTTTTAATGGCTAATCTATTTCTCGTTTAGTATCGATTATTTATTAGAAGAAAAAGAAAAAAAAAGGAAGAAAATAGTCAAACATCCCCTTTAAAAGAAATTGTTCTCGATAGTAATTGCCTTTCACAGGTACGCCGCTTGCATTATCGGAAAACGCAGAGGCTGTCCTTTGAAACGAACGTTCGTTGTAGGTATCTGTTTGCAATTCACCCGTATACATACATATGTGTCCTATCAGGCTACAGCCAAATGACAAAGCGAATCTCTGGTGTAAAATTTTAACTTGCTCACCCTGTTAACATTTCTACGAGGATTTAGGGATTCAATACTATAACAGTGTCGTTACGCTTAAAAAGTGCAGTGAAGAGAGGTGGAGTTTAGGATGTATTCGTTAAGATGACACAGTTTAATAAAAAAGAGAGAGAGAGAAAACCTTCAAACTTATTGTTCTTTCTGAACAAATTGTAAATAGTGTACTTCACTCAAATAAAGAAAGAAAAAATAGAATACATTGTAGAGCGTTGTTCACTTCGATATATGTATTTGCACCCGTGTCAAACGATAGATGTTCAATCGCGCCACAGAATCTTTCGTTTCGACGTTTTAAAATTTACAGAAAAATGTAAAAATTAAAATTTAAAGTTTATTGCTTTTAATTTTCTTTTATTAAAGTAAAGGGAAGTGCGCAAAGGGCAAAAATTAAGGTGAAAATATTTCAAAAAGCGTGAAGTGCACAGTAAGTATAAATATTAAAATGTTTTCTTTGACTATTGGTACATATTTTATCTATAAACACACATCTCCAAAGATGTATTGCTTTTGCTTTCAGAATAAATGTGTCGCGTTCTGTGTAGATGTCCTTTAAGGAACATCCATTTACTGCGTGCACAACAGTATACTCATTAACCGTGGCCAGAAGAACAATGATGTCTCGAAAAGGAACAAGACCCAAGAGTGAAGAAATTTTTGCCTTCCTTTTGATTCCCACGAAAGTTCATTTCCTTCAACCTTGGTGTTTCCCAAGCATACCACTAATGTAAACAATCAATATCGACTATACGAGAGAAACCACATGATACCATTACTCCTCGATATTCCGCATCTACGGAAGTGACGACCGGTAAATCGCAAGCAACGCGATTACTTGAGACTCGAAAAACCATTTGGTTAAATAATAACTTGTATAAACATCAAACTTTCATAAGTAATTCTACCTTATTAGGCTGTTACTTTTTTTATATCGAATTTACGTTCGAAATTAATTTTCTTCGCTTTAAATTAATCAGGAGCTTTACTTTCATCATTTCTGAATGAGTTATTAAAAGGGAAATTAAACTGATCCGAAAATCTATAAATCTACACAGTTAGCAGCTTTTTATCCTTTTTCTTAACTATAATTGAGATCTATCTAATATTGAGATATCTACTATTCAATAGTGAAATAATTGACGAACCACCACGATCGGTGGTGGTATTTTTACTTTTTAAAAATTGGAGAAAGAGGCTGAAAGTTACATTTATATCCTGTGAAAAAACTGAAATTTTTCATTTAGTGGTTACTAATAAAAAAAATTCCCAAACTTTACCTATCTTTAGACGCCTCAGGGTGATGTACCCCCAATAATTTAATCTTTCATAAATTTCGGAATAGAAATTAGTAATAAAATTTAAATAAGAATTATAGACATTTCTAAAGTGATTAGTATAAATAATATCAGATTGAATAATAATTTATGAAGAAAAGTAATGAGAAGTACTAATCTGCTATTTCTAGCTTTTGTGAGAGGATCGAACACTGTTGAAGGCAGAACATTTCTTAATCGTAATCGTTTAATAATTCTTAATACGGTATTTGCGGTGCAATGACTTAATGTTAAGGAAAATGTAGGTCAACGTTTCTTTCGCACCCATTTACAGAGCGTAATTTGGATTTATAAATGCCTCCGTACCTCTTACTAAATTGCTTCGCAACGTCATATCCTTACGGGAAACAGTTCGAAAATTTCGCGTGTGCCAACCACTGCCTGAATACTTGCTAGTGAGCGAAGTAGTTCACCGTAGCTGATTATTCCATAAATACACGTTACCACTACTTCACTTAAGAAGTTCCATTTTATACTTCGTTATAATCGCTGCAAATATCGTTTTCACCCTAAAATATTGGTATTGTTTCGCTGTTTCCTTTTAGATAAGCAAAGTGGCCGGAATCATGTCAGACAGTAGGTCACTTCTTTGTAAGTACTGAATAACTTATAATTCAGTCAATTTTCATTAGTTTCGCTTAAAAAAGATGGCGAATATTCTCAAGACATGAATAAATGTGTGTGCAAAAAATCGATAATAAAAAGTCTTATGATTTCTTTGTAAAAAAATTTCTAAAAGAAGTTAAATAATGTCACTCTCGACTATAATACCCCTTTAAGTATATGTAATGAGAACTTTTATTTATTTGTTTGCATATGACATTAAAAGTGTCTAACAAATTGTAGATATAGTTAAAAAAAATTAAAGAAAAATACTTAGATGATTAAGAATACAAAAATTTTGCAGTACTTCTTCTTCATTAAATAAATTACTCTAATCTAATAATGTATATACTAATAAAAATCGAGAAGCATAATACATCTTTGCAAATTTAACGCAAGATAAATGAGAAAATAAAAAATATGACACAAAGAATATAAACTATTAGAAAGCATAAATAATTACACGTATTAACATTGAGAAATATATTCTTGAAAATTATTTGCAAAATGCAAGTAGAAGTAATTACACAGTGCAATATAATGTTTTTAAATTAAGTTAAGTTCGTATAAATTATTTTTATTCAAAGAAACGCCAATTGGAAACTAATACATTTCTTCATTGAACTAACTTTTACTAATTCATTAATGTAGTAAAACTTTACGTAATAACCATAAAAAGAAGTACGTGGTTTAAAATTATACTATTTGATTTTTATACCCTAATTCATGTAGTATAGAAACGTGTAATTATTCTATTACTAATATTTTTCAAACAACTTTCTATTAGTACCAAATTAACTTATGCAATCTACGTTGTTTATAAATTTCATGTTTCCAAAATTAATAAAGTCTATTTTTTTTTTTTTTTTAACGAAAACTATGAAACAACGCTTTCTTATTCATTCATTTTTTAGCAAAAATCAAGGAGATTTTATCGTATATATTATGAACATACTCACCATTGTGTCATATAACGTGTACTAATAATGAAGACTGGAGAAGAGGTACGATTAGTTTCGGTGCCATTGAGGCTGCTATCTGTCCCGTTCACCTCCATTCCACTAGGTAAAGATCACGGTGGCAGCAACTTTCAAAACCACTCACACCTCCAGTTCAATACTCAATCATCTTTCGAACATTCTGAAACAAATACAACCATTTATTACTATAGCAAGATATTCTATTTTCAATGAATTTCAAAT